GCTGAGGACTCCGGGGTAATTTCTTCTGTGGTGATCATCAGAGTCTGTCCATCTGCGCCTTAGTTCTTCATTATCAGGCAGTCCTTCTTGTAATGTCCTGTCACACCACATCCATAGGAGGCCTGATTTACTTCTACTCTTGGGACTTGGGAGATCAATTGTGCCGGTGCCCGGCAGAACCAGGCAGTGTGCCCCTTCCTATGGAAATTCATGCAATTCATTTCCCAACATACTCTAGTATGGTGGTTGTTACACTTTCCACACTTTGGGAGAGTTCCAGCATATTGAATGATAGGTGCTAGAGTAGCAGGTGTTGTGGCGGCATATATAGTACCCATTTCTTGATCTTATAGGGTTTCTCGGTTTGTTCACTCTTTCCTTTTTTCCCAAATTTTTGTTTATAATCCCCTCCTTTTGATGGCTCGGGAATGGGGACCACCACACCATGGCGGACTCCATGGTCAATGAGTCTCTGGGCCTGGCGTTTGGTGCTATCAAATGTAGTTGGGTTAGAAGACAGTACATCTCCTTGGACAGGGGGAGATAATCCCCAGATGTACCTTTCTATCTTCTTACTCACCGGGGTAACCATCTGAGGGCATAGTGTTGCCAGGTCCCTAAACCTGTCAAAATAGTCCACTCTGTCTGAGCCGACCATGGTATGCTCCCATAGTTCTTGTTCCAGTTTTTGAACTTCGCCCCTTGGGTATTATTCTTCCAACATCATCTCCTTTACGTTTTCCCAAACTATCGAGTTAGCCACTAATAAATTCAGTGACTTAACATGGCTATGCCACCATGTTAGGGCTCTGTCAGAGAAGGTGCAGGCAGCAAACTTCAGTTTTCTCCCTTCTTGCCACAGACAGTTTTCGAAGACCGAATTTGTTTTCTCGAACCATCGCATCAGAGCAATGACTGCCCCATTTCCATTAAAAGGATTTTGGTATGCAGCTCATGAAGTCCTTGTACAAACACTCTCGTGGGTGTCCGTTGGTAACTCCGGGGTTTCTTAAGTGGGTATCGCTACCAATTCCGTTTGTACCACTTTCACTGGTGTAAGTTAGCGCAGCTATTATTGCGGCTGCTATTGCTGCTTGGAAAACAGCAGGATCGAATTGTGATCATGGATTCTCTGTTGGGTCATTGACTGTGTATCTTGCAGGTCTACCGCGAGGCTTCTTTTTTTGAAAAGAATACAAAGATGAGACAGAAATAAGTTTATGGCAGTGGTTATAAGTCGAAAGTTGAATGACAATGTTATCCTTGTTCTAAGTGTATCTAGTTCTGACTTTCATAGGGTTTTGTAAACAATTCATAAAGGGAGTCTACATAAAATAAAATTTATGAATCAAAAGTGGCTATCCTCGAATGAATTTTTGTGAATTGAATAACTGATACTGTTTGCGTGAAAAGAAAATAATCCTACCACATAACGTGAGTAGGGAAATCACTAGCTCACTAAGTCAATTCAAGTTATTATTTATTAGTGTGACACATAAGATGTTTTTGTTTCTACGGCTGATCATTTCTTGGAAAACTATTTTTTTAATCTATTTTTGTTTCTCCTTGACTCCTCTGCTGACTGCTATGATGGAGTGGTTACCTCTATCAGGTTTTGTAGTACAAGAATGGTAGTGTCTAAATAATCTATGAGATTAAGGGTGACATTATGGGGTGATCCTTAATGGGTCCTCCTATAATTTCTAAATGTATACAAGTTGTATATAGTTTAAGATTAAATAGACCTTCGAAGAAGTGATCCTAGTCCAAAACCACAACCAAACAAGGAACAGGAAATGGAGAATAGGTCACAATTTCTAAGTCTATAAAATCTTAATTATATAAAACCTTGGGAATATACATTCCAAAATTATAGACCTACCAGAAGGGTCTTTTAAGTTCTCATATAAGTTATTTATAGTGCCTAAAATACTCCTATAATATTTTAATGTAATGAACTTGGTATGTTTTAAACTTATTGTGTTGTAGTATCATAAAATACTCCCATAGTATTTTAACTTTAGGCTCTGATCTAGAATTTTCTTGAATCGAGTTAGCTAAGTTTTAAGACTATTGCAACACCACATCACTCCCAAATACATGTCGGTCATATCTCAAATGAATATAGTTGATCAGGTTATACTGATCCCAAATATGATTACATAAATGCCCAGGTTTGACCGCAATGTTCAACCTTTAAACATACTTATGTTCTGTTCTTCTTGTGATACTTGTTCTAGTATGTATATATGTATAAAAATGTATGTATACTTTTATAAAGTATTTTAATATTTTTAAAATATATTATTATTCAGATCACTTCGACTCCATTGTATTTAAAGTTGTATATCTCTTATAGGTTGATATACTTAATTCACTATAAACAATGTTCTGATACAAATCTGTCAAACCCCCAAACCGGAACAGCAGAAACGTTCGTGGGTGGAGGATGTCATGTTTAGTATCACAACACATGCATCATAGTAATCAAAGTTACAAACAACTATTGTTTTAATATTAAAGTGTTTACAAAGTGTGCGTACTTGTCTGCTAGTTTCCTGAGAATAACAAAACATCTTCTAAAACAAGACATAAAACTACTATAATCCATCTTCTAAAAACCAGTGTTCGTACCTGTCTGCTAGTTTCGTAAGAATACAAATTATTTTTAAAGAGAGGATCAGCATTTAAGCTGGTGAGTTCATAAGAATTTAAGTGATGTAAAGTATGTTTTAAGTTCTTATAGAAAAGGTCGCATGTTCCTCCATAAAATCCTATATTTCCTGATAAGAAGAATGAAAGTAAAAAATGACTCTACAATTCCTTCTATGAGTACTAAATGGATACAAGCTATATACAATTTAGAGTAAGTAGACCATCGATTGTGTGAATCTACGCTAAGCCCACAACCAAACAAGGAACAGCGGATGAGGCTGAAGTCACGCATCCCATTGTCTGTTAGATATTTAATGTATATAACCCTGGCGTATTCAATTGGTGCTGACAGAGTTAACTACAATAGTTTTTTATATTTGATGAAAACATTCTTTAAGAAAATCATATATTTCTTTTAGTAAAAATATTAACCACAATAGTTCCTTTTATAATCACGTAGTTTATACAAGTTATGTATGATCTAATAACGAACGGACCGTTAAATGGGTGAATATACCCTAAGCCCACAACCAAACAAGGAACAAGGAGTAAGGCGAAAAGCACATGTCCCAACTGCCTATCGGAAAATAATTATATACATCCCTAATGCATAAAGTAAGGTATTATAGAATTTACCACTAAAGGTCCTTTAAGTTATACTGGTTTAATAAAATGGATTAAACCCTTTTACTGATAACTTTATAGTTTAACTTACTAAATGTTTTATCTGAAAAGTATGTTTTTGTACTAGAAATCGGTATATTGAGTTTGTATACCATTACCTGACCTATACCTCGAACTCCTTATGATTATTTTTTGTATATGAAATTTATATATATATATATATATATATATATATATATATATATATATATATATATATATATATATATATATATATATATATATATAACTAAGATCGAATAGATAGTAAACTGGGTGAATCTGCTCTAACCCCACAACAAAACAAGGAACCGGAAATGAAGCATAAAGCACACATTCTACCGTCTACCAGACCTAATTAATATATATCCCTGATGTATCTACTGAGGAATCATAAAGTTACCATAAGCCCCCTTTTACTTAATGTACTAAGACTCGACTGTACTGTTTGTCTTTTGTAAGTTTTCCCAAGTTTAACACTATCTTTACTAGGAAATACTTTGTATTACCTTTTATGTAAGAAGATAACTATATGAATGTAATGGGAATATGAAAGTATTCATTAATATTGTATAAGTAATTACTGAATGACTAACTACCTTAAAACTAGTTTGTTAATTAAGGTTAAGATGTTGATATGAACCGAGTGGATAAGTGTAGGTCTATAAGAAGCATAAAAAAAGGCAGAGGGTTGTTTAGTAATTTATGATTATTCTAGTATCTTTCTTATTTAGTATGTATCTAGTTGATTCCAGTTTCCTTATGCAGTTAGGGTTTCCCTTTACGAATATAGTTTCCTTTTATCAGTTTAGTAGAGTCATTAAATATGTTAGGGCCGACTCTTCTAAGGGGAGGCAAAATTTTAGTGAGTCATTTTCTTTTTTTTGGAGACCCCTGAGTCTCGAATACCAGACACCTATCTTTTGTTCTTTAAGCATTAAGTTAAGATTGAGTTATTTTCTAATCAGTTCACATCAAATTGGTATTTGAGCACTTTCCCGGAGTACTGTTATCGATAACTGTTCATCGAAGGTACTGTTCATGCGGTTCCCATCCATCCAACAATGTTCACGTCGTTTACTGTTCACCGAACACTATGCACGTCGTTTACTGCACGTTGCAGAAACTCGACACCAGATCTGATTCTACTACCCGGAATTTGAATAAAGAATCAGTCTTGGTAGAGAGTTCCTCATGGGATCGGATTGAGAAGATGGAGTAGGAATTAGCAGAGATCAGTACCAAATCAGAAAGGCATCAAACCTTAGCTGATCAGTGCCATGCAGAAGTTATGGCACTCCTGATTAAAGTGACCCAACCTGCCACCAACCGCCTCCCGCTACCGCCACAGATCCGATGTAAGTCACGTAACTACCACCAATCATCCAATCATTACCACCACCCATCACCACATATCGACCCATTATTCAATCGCTGTCACCCCGAATTTTTCGATGCCACCTCCAAATCACTAACGCCTAGGAATAGGAGGATGGCCATAAACCCCTATCATCTACACATAACCGCCCTGGATCACGTCAATGCTTCAATATGACGAACATGGGTATCCAACTCCTCCACATAATATGCGTCTAGAATCTGGTTCAAGCAACACCAAATTTCGTGCATATACGGGGGAGGGTTGGTGAATCGAAGAACAACTGGCCACACAACCCGTTCGAATGGGACCATACTTTGGGTCTAAGCTAGGACATGGAAGGGGATGGGTCCCAAACGTGGATTATAGATTGAGAAAACTCAAGATACCTCTATTAGAACGGGAAGATGTTTACGGGTGGGTTTATAAAGCGGAACGTTTGTTTGATATGCAAGGGTTGGCAACGTCGGGTGAGAGACTACATGCAACAATTGTATGTTTGGAAGGGCTAGCATAGGCATGGTATAGATGGAGCGACACCTGGATGCTTTTCTGGTGTTGGGAAGATTTAAATAATAGGTTACAGGAATGTTTCCAGGTGTCACAGGAGGGTAGTGTGCAAAAACAATTTTTAGACATACGCTAGATTGGATCGGCCCGTGAATACGTGGGGCGTTTTGAACAATTGGCTGCATAGCTCGAGGGCATCCAAGAGTCAATTTTAGAGGGGAATTTCATCAAGGTGTTGAAACCAGACTTGTGCAAGTCGGTTCAGAACTTGCAATCACATGGGTTTGGACAGGCGATGAAGTTGGCACTTGTGGTAGATGAGAACGGAACTAGAACAATCACGGGGTCAGACAAAGGAAGTACAAAAGTCAATGTGAACTATGCGCTAAGCACAGTTAATAACACAACAACAGAAGCAGTGGCAACGTACACCCCCTTTCGACGAATGACTGACACTGAATTCACTGACAAGAAAGCCAAAGGGTTATGTTTTCGATGCAACAGGAAGCTCGGTCCAGGTCATCGTTGCCCAGAGAAAACCCTTCAGGTATTGTTGGTGGATGATGAAGAAGGGGAGGAAGAGGAAGATGAAGAGACAAAGAGGAGATAAACTGAAAAAACTGCCAGGTTTCCACCTTGAGGACAAGGTGGATTTTCAACGAGGGGGTATTGATATGAACCGAGCGGATAAGTGGGATTGGGTCTATAAAAAGCGTAAAAAAAAGGCAAAGGGTTGTTTATTAATTTATGATTATTCTAGTATCTTTAGTATTTAGTATTTATCTAGTTGATTCTAGTTTCCTTATGCAGCTATGGTTTCCCTTTATGAATATAGTTTCCTTTTATCAGTTTAGGATAGTCAATAAATAGGTTAGGGACGACTCTTCTAAGGGGAGGCAAAATTTTAGTCAGACGTTTTCTTTTTGTTTGGAGATCCCCTGAATCTCTAATATCAGGCACCTATCTTTGTTTCTCTAAGCATTAATTTATGATTGAGTTATTTTCTAATTAGTTCATATCATATGCGAGGAGGTGGTAACGATACTGATATGACACGTGTTTAACATGACGACCTATTGGCGCCAAAACTGATGTGATATTTGTCACCCGTAGACTTGCAAGTCCCACTGTAGCTAGCAACAAGGTGCTGGGTGTCAATCTCATATAGATATATACACAAATTCATGTCTCCCTCTAGGAGACTCTGGTTACAAAACGCGACCTAACAAGTATATTGCTAAGCCGTGAAGTAGACTCACATTAATGATATATTGTTCTTGTTATCTTATGTTCCTTTTGTTCTTGTTACTGTATGTTCCTCCCTGTTTCTCTTTATAGTATGTTTTTTTCTTGTTTCTCATTATAATATGTTCTGAACCCCTAAACTATACCTATTATAGTTTACTAGTGTGCTTGTTTTGAACTATCTCTGATTTGTAGAAAACACTCGATTATCTACTGAGTTATGCTCTTACTTTAAAAACAGAGTTTGATAAACAATAAGTAACATAACTTAAAAATAGTTTTTGACATGATTTTGATTACTTATAAATGCATAATAAATCCTTTAACACGATGGTTATCACAAATAACATGTAGATAATTATTATTGTGTTCAACTTGTATCCCTATATATATATATATATATATATATATATATATATATATATATATATATATATATATATATATATATATATATATATATATATATACTATTAACTTACTAGCTGTTTACCCGCGTCAAGCGACGGGTGCAAATTTATTGCTATTTATATTCAATTAGTCGATTAATTTGTTTTAGGAAACATGTGATATTAAAAAGGACACAATGTATTGACATGTATCACTAAACATTAGTTTTAGTTTAACGATTTCTTTTTTTTTTCGACAGACGATGTATTCTTTGAGGTATTAATGGTTTTTGTGTATGTTGGATATATGTTTTCATATATTGGATCTATTGTGTCGAAAATATATCATTTCATATTCATGATAATATCTTAAAAAAAGCATTTATTTCATTAATGTAAATTTAGAAGAAGAAAAAAAACATTGTTATTCGGGACAATGCAACACATTTATGTGAATATTTCACATTTTTTTATGTTTAAAAATGAAAACATGTTATTTTTGTTTAAAAATAAAAATATATTGTTGCTTTGAAGTTACAAATAAACACTACATCAATAAATGTATAAACGTAACATGGGTTGATTATTTCATTTTCAAAACTAATTATCTTTTGACCAATATTTTCGGTTATATTTTTTTTTATTATCAATTAGGAAAGGGGTGAAAATCCTTTAAAGCCATAAATTGTTTTTTTTTTTGTTTTCATGGTACAAATGTATATCATTTTTTGTAAACAAAAATATTCTGAAATATTTAAAAATAGTTTTAAATTCTAACTTCAAATTTACATTTTCTTTAGTTTTTGTTATTTTACAATATTTAGTTAATATGAAATAAATATAGATAAAAAAACTAATTAAATTACATAATACGTCAAATAATCATTATTACTTTTTTTCCTTTAACAAATTTACATCTTTTTATATAACTCCACTACTCCAACCATGCTTTTATATAAAACCAGGAATCAAAACTATAATCTGAGTGTTGAATACATGGACTAAAACCATAATTTACACTTTTACATAATAAAATTAGCCTTCATTGCATCATAAATCATAAGTCATGGACCAAACCTGTCATTTCGGCCATTTTTTTTTTAGAATTTAGGGACCAAAACCATAGTTTCATAGCTAATAACATATAAATCAAAGATAAAAACTCAAAATTCTTATTTAGCTTCTTTTCAACAGAAGAAGGAATATAGAATAATTGTTTCACAGCCACATCCACACACACAAACACACGTACATACACATACAAACTCAAATATGTTATTTCTAAAACTATAAAACGTACATCAATTGATGAAAACAATTAACGAATTTGGGCCACAGCATGGAATCCACGAACATATGTAAGAAGAAAAAAAACATTGGTCTCATGTTTACCTGAGATCAGATAAACATATTATTGAGAGTTAAATATATCAAAATTAAAATAGCTTAAAATATAGTAATAGACAAGCACCATACAAATTCAAAAACAAATGGAAGCATTTACCATCTAATAGAATTAACAGTTTGCATTGTTGGGAACACATTTTACTATGGTCATTTTTATTCTACGTCGATGGGAACACATATCAATAAAAACGAAAAGATTTTTCTGATCATGATTAACTTGTAAGAAATTGAAGAGTTAACTACCTAATATTCAGTTTTTCAAGCTGATAAAAGCGATCAATACAAGCTTTTCTTCCACAGAAGTTTACCAGCCATGTGACCTGTTCATCCTGGGAAACATTTTACTAACAACAATCACTGACATGATCATCTGAAGTATGCTTATTATCTTCACATCTAACTTCTACAACTTCTGAAACAGCCTACACATGCGTGCCTATCACATCTAATTTCAACTATTCACAACCCTATCAAAGCTAATTAAGCAACAAAAAATCCATTAGTATTTAACATTCAAAGATAATTAAAATGAAAATAACAACAAAACTTCAAATACAACCTTGTCAAAGGGCAGATTTAGCACAACCAGGTTGATTTAAAACACAAAGAAATAAACAACCACTTGTGCAAAAATTACACATACCACACACCATCTGAGAGTGAAAGAGAGATGGAACAACAATTTACAAACTAAAACGAGAAGCTTGACCACACTACTTGGATATGTGTGTGTGTGTGATAAGAAGCTAACCAGCCTACACTTTCATCACACCTCACACATGAATAAAAATACACCATTATCATCAATTCATTTGGCATTTAATGAGAATCAGTAATAACTGTAATCCTTTCCATGGTTTTCTTCTAAAACCAATCAAATGCTACCAAACACATAAAGCATATACACATAAGAGAACCATAACCAAATATTATACTGGTAGCATGTCTTAAGGTGACATTGTTTTCTATTTTCATAAAAATAGAAAAATAAAGGAACACACTCTGAGAATTTGACCATCATCTTATGTTATGAACATATCTGAGATAACAAAAAACCATTTTTAGCAGATCTGGGATGAACAGAGAAAAAAAATACGTTTTGAGCAAATATGAGATGACAAAAAAGAAAAAAAAAACAAACCTATGAATGCCTACCATGAAAAATGTTGCATAATCTCGAGAACAAGTTCATATATGCACTGGAACTTGCAAAAATTACAGAAAAAAAAACAGTAGAGGTTAGGGATTTATAACTCGTTAATAAAAATTAAGTTTTTTTTTTGAGTTTTTTCAGTGATGGTGAACAGTGACAGATGTGTGTCTATGCTTTTCATCGTGGTTTTAGGGTTTTTCAGACTGGTACGGATAAGACATGTTCGGGGATGAGGAGGGTGTGATGGCTTTCACATATGTCTCTGGATGGATTTCTTGAGCGTCGTCCTATTGGGCGTTATTTGATTGAGATGGTGGCAACTCGGTAGTGGTGCTCTGATGGTGTCACGGGTAAACCGATTCATGTATACAGATTCAAACACTCACAATGTTCAAGAGATAGAAAGTGAGAGTCGATGTACCTTCGAGACTGTGAGTGAAAGAGAAAGTATTGGAGCAGTAGGCATTGCAAAATGGTATCCGACAAGTCATCTAATGGTGTTGTTGTACTGGACGATTGAAATTAGGTTAAAGAAAAGGGGAAGATAATTTGTTAAATAGAGAAGGAGTGTATACTCTAAAGGGGTGCATGGGAGAAAGGATCGTACCATGGAGAAGATAGTCGATGTAGTGAAGGTTTGATTATCAGTGGGCGTTAGGGATAATATCAATGGAGGCGATAGGTGATGGGAAAATTAGGGTTTCCAAAATAAAGAATAAGGTAGGTGATTATCGCAGGTAAAGAAGAGGTAGAAAGAATGCGGTGGTGGTCGGAATTCCAGTAATTAGGGTTTCTTTGGTATATAGAACAAGGAATTACCAGTTCTTGGTGGGTTTTGGATTTGTGGTGAAGTGAAACCAGGTTTGTGGATTTGGAGGAGCACAAGATCGACATGATGCAAGTATAGGCAGAAAAAAAAAAGGGGCAATCAGGTTAGAAGGTTACGTGGGAGAAAAAGGTTCCACCTGTAAGATTGAAGTTGTTAGAGGAACATAGGAAAAGTGGTTGTGATTTTAGCTAGATAAGGAATATGTGAGATAGGGGAGCATGATATGGTTTAAATCTGTAAATCGAAAAGAATGGAGGTAGGGGAGGCTTATATAAAATGGCGAACAGGCGAAATAAATAATATATAGACATGGATCTAACCCTTTGACCGATTCAATAGGTAGAAATCAAGGGAACATTTGCTTAACTTTGACTTATTCATTGGTTGACTGGATAACTTTTCTATGCAGAAACCGATTGTAAATAGCGCAAAAAGTTTTGTATGACTTAAAATTCAGCATTTGACCAAAAATGGTTTATAAGGTAAAATAGATAATACTATAAAGTATAAGGGTTGAACTTTATCTTTTAAAATTCTAAGGGCTTAAATTGGAATTAAAGTATTCATAAGGGGAAATTTTACAAATT